TGTTTTTATTTTTTGTATACGCATTTATATTTCAGTCCTAGTACATTTCACACGTATTTCGATATGTTTTTAATTTTTTAAGACACGTAATCAATAAAGTTAGTATGGCCACGACGGTTCCCGAACGCTCATGAGGACTTACGAGTGCTCATCATTTTTTTTCATATTCATCGCTTACACCATTAGGATTAAATTATCGACGTTATAATTATATTAACGACTAGCTGACCCGGCAGACTTCGTAGTGCCTCAATCGATAAATAAAAGATCTAAACTTTTGTATAAAATAAACTTAAAACAAACAAAAGGAATCCGTCCGACGGGGGACACATCAAAGGAAAAACCAAATTGTTACTTTTATTTAATTCCGAGCATTTTCATATTTATCTACCTTTTAAACCTTCTCTGGACTTCCAGAAATAATTCAAGACCAAAATTAGCCAAATCCGTTCAGCCGTTCTTGAGTTTTAGGGAGACTAACGAACAGCAATTCTTTTTTATATATATAGACAGATGTAGATGAATGGAAACGCAAAAAACAACAACGAAATTCAAAATTTTAAAGCGTATTTTAGCTTAAAATGTATTCTGTATTTCATAGCGCTTCTAGAAGTGCGATGAACTTACAAATGCCAACAGCAGACCGTCAGCATGCACCGTTTCCAAGTTCCGCTGAATAATGCACGGACGCGTCAGTCTGCTTCGGCGGTCCACTGCTGCGTTCTTGCTATAGATATTTATCGCTTTAACATTTACACACAGTTTGCATAAAGCATACTTTCTGATTTGTTTTCATCCTCTTCAGGCCTACGGGTTAGCGCTATCAGCCCGCTAGAGGAGCATTTGATTAACTTATTACTGGTGGTAGGACCTCTTGTGAGTCCGAGCGGGTAGGTACCACCGCCCTGCCTATTTCTGCCGTGAAGCAGTAATGCGTTTCGGTTTGAAGGGTGGGCAGCCGTTGTAACTATATTTGAGACCTTAGAACTTATATCTCAAGGTGGGTGGCGAATTTACGTTGTAAAAGTCTATAGACTCCAGTAACCACTTAACACCAGGTGGGCTGTGAGCTCGTCCACCTATCTAAGCAATAAAAAACTTTATAAGACTGCTTCAATCATGGCACTGAATTCTAGTGAATCAGGTTTTTTTTTCCTTTGCGGCATAACACTAAGAAGGTCCGCTGGCGAACATGAACACTTCGGTATAACAGTGTGATCAGCATGTTCTTGGTACTTTAATTGATTGGTTGTATACAGTTGTAGTAATGTATACACTTGTTCTTATTGCGGACAGCTTCCCATCTCACGACTAATCCACTCTGAGATCGAACACTTCCATTGATACTTCATCAGGCTGAGTTCAGCTTGATACTCTTATGTACGTAGCTTGGAAACAGCGATACTAAATTATACATTTAGCTTATGAGATTGCTCGGAGTTTCAGTTTTAATATTTGTTTGTTATAAAAACAGCACTTCGATTGCACATATCGAAAGCGTTTACTACGACACGACGATGTGTGTGTGTGTAAATATTATAGATTACAACCACAATTTTATGAGCAAAAAAATACGAAATATGTTTCTTTATTATAACCGATCTCTGCGTTTTTCTCCACTTCGATAAAGCGGCACGACACGAGAACCCTCTCATCGTGGCCGCCGGTAACTACATTCCCGATCCTGCGGACAGAATGGAAAGCAGTCGACGTCGCCCCAAACACGTCATTTCGGATCCTCCCGATCCACTAACGGTGCTTTTAGGTACTTCAAGCACCGGTCACCGTTCTCGTCGAGCCCGTCGCCGACGAAGGGCTCGACGAGTAAATTAACCCTCAGACACAGCCCACTGAGTTTCTCGCCGGATCTTCTCAGTGGGTCACGTTTCCGATCCGGTGGTAGATTCTGCGAAGCACGGCTCTTGCTAGGGTTCGTGTTAGCAACGTCGTCAGGTTTTAGCTCCGTGAGCTCACCTACTAGTTAAGGTTACGCTGAAATAGCCTCTCAAGGTTAGCTTCATATCAGCTTCATATAGTTTCATATCAGCTTAGGTAGGAAATTAAAAGCATTTTTCAAATCAACACCCAACTCAGTGTATATTAAGCGCCGAAATGTTATTGTTATGAAAACAGTGCCGTTATCTGAATTCGTCCAGTGTTTGGATCTATGAAGCGTGCACCGACATCACGTCAGGACCACGAAACTAATTTGCATACCTGCACACGGGTCCCGGTCGTAAAAAGTTCACACTTCGTCTAGACAATTCGACCAGCGAAAGAGAAAGTGATAGTAGTCTCCTCCGCGTTCAGTACATGCGCAGTAGTGGGAGACGAGCCGACAACAGGTGGGGTAGTGGGGTGGGAGCTCAAGGTCACCGTCCGGAAGCGTCTGCCCTCCATATTATTTATTACCTTATCGATTATACGGTAATTCGCGTGGGACATGCCACTACGACAGTTTTAAGTGCAATTTTAGTAAAAAGGAATGTAGTTTCAATAACGATCCGTAGATTGAGTTGATGATAATGGCACGGAATATGAAGTTCAGGTTTTAGCTTCCCATTAATAAATGAAGTTTTTGTTATGTTTTTACGAATGAACCCGACCTGATGTTTGATGGTTACCGAAGCCACTTTGTGCCACCTTGAGACATGAGTTCATAGTCTTAATTGCTTAGTATTAAGGTATCCCACCCGCCAAACTTTCTATGAATTCCATTATTACGACGCGACAGAAATAGGAATGTTGTGGTACCTACCCTCATTATGACTTGAAGAGTGAATTCAATACATTACAGTATCGAAAAGACGGACAATCAACGACTCTAAATAAACTTTGTATAATACCCTGTAGATTACCAGCTATTAAAAAGTAAATAACGAATGTTTTTATTAAATTATACAATATATAATAGCTCCAGGCGGCAACAAAGGATTCAGTCAGGCACAAGTCAAGGTCTAAAATAAATTACCATCAGTACAGTCGCCCACGCCTTGTCTGGAGCACCCGGAGATGTGCGATGTATCGGGACTGAGATTGGTCGTGTTGTAGACGAAAATTTCGTACTTATAATCATATAGAATGTATTAATTATTTAACTAAATTACTAGTCTATTTTTATTAGAGAACAAACAACTACTATTTGACAAATAAAACATACTTTTTTTTAATGAGTGATATCTGGTGACCCATAGGCCTTTCCAGTTTCACCAGGAAAGGTAGGGTGGGATTTGCTAACAGCTGCCCGAGCGCCTCCAAAGGAGACCTAACAACTCAAGAGTAGCTGTTTCGCAAATATACTACCGGATCTAAATCGCGATCCGCTGAGAAGATCCGGCGAGAAACTCAGCGGGCTGATTGATGCACGGGTTAGGTTGCACGTCGAACTCTTTGTTGAGTTCGACGAGTACGGTTACCGGCAAAACATTCCTAAAGATGTCCCTTTTATATTATTCATAATATCGATTGCTAAAATATCAAAAAAAAAACGACATCTCCAATTCAAAATATTATATTCACTTAGTCTGCCTTATCTACGTCCGTTTATTCGGTAATCTTCAAAGTTCTGAAGCCCTCCTGAAGCTAAAGGGAATTTTGACTAATGACAGCTCTAACTCGCGCGGCCGGTCCTTCGTGAATTAGGGGCATATAAAACTAAGTTTAATGAATTCAATACTTTTCTGTTTGTTCGCGAACAACAGTTCGATAGTTATTCATATTGATTTATAGTTTTTGTGGTCTTGAACTTCGGCCGTAATACAAAGGGGCGATCAATGCCAGTAATGTTTTTTGATGCTATTGATGCGAGCTGGCGCAATGGAAGTTTGGATAAAGTGGACATTTGGTGGCAAGTAACCACCGGGGCTCGTGAACGCCACAAAATACTCCAATACGACCGGCTTTTGTATTTGCCGCACTGGTATTTCAAAGCGACTGTCTTAACATTGAAGCCGAAACGCACGACTGCTCGACATGAACAGAATAGTAGTTCTTACCAGCGCGGACTCGTGGTGCGTTCTTAGAATATAAAGTCCAGTCTTGCCCAAAGTGGGAGATGACGTCCCTCTGTGAGCGCTGCGGGCCTAAAGGGGGACATTAAGAGACCCAGAAAAAAATTGGGGCGTTGTGTCGAGGCTTGGGAGGCGATTTGTAATTTCATCTAGGAGGACTCTTAGACACCGACTGAGCTCTCACTATAGTAGTTTTTAAGTAGGTGAAAAAATGGGGGCGCTAAAAAATAATTAATTCTCAAAGTGGACAGTACACAAAATAAGTTTGGGAACCCCTGATATAGACTATAGTGATTCATACGCATTTACATAATGTCCACGCCTCTTATATACAGTATATTATTATATTACAGCCTAATAATATAGTCCTAGAAATATAGAGACTGCTTTTGTTTAAATAATACCAGTTATTTCGATGTTCTGTTGATATTACGAAACTCATCTTGTTGTTCTAAAGTCTATATAAATGAAGCCCTTTTAAAATCCTGAAAATATAAGATTTGCCTGTCCTAGTCTAGACTAGAGAAACTTTGTGTAAATTAATAATGGTAATTAAGTGTCTGATCTTATAATACCTTTGTAGATCTCAAGAGAGACGCGCAGAGTTAAAAAGCTCACAGAATGACGATGAAATTCTTGCGGATTTGTTAACTGATTGGAGAAATTTAAGCTTTAAGTTTAGGTTCGCTGTGATTTTATTCGTTAAAAATTAGGTATTCTCGTTATAAAATTTACTAAGCTCTTCTTAATCGATTATTATATATAGACAAGGATCGATTCAAATGTTCCAAAATAAATTAAACAAACTTTTTTATTGCTTATATGGTTGGACGAGATCACGGCCCACCTGTTTATAAGTGGTTACCGGAGCCTATAGACATCTACAACGTAAATGCCGCCACCCACCTTGAGACATGAGTTCTAAGGTCTCACTTGTAACTTTCAAACGGTCGTGCGCGAAAGATTTAATTTTATTTCCCGTTGTTCCAGTGAATGGAGAACCAACAGGACTGGCCCTCGGAGCCAGAGCGCTGCTGCACGGTCTCCTGGCGCCCTCACCCTCGGTCAGGCACCATCCCCTGTACACGGCGCCCAACACAGGTGAGCATATCAACTCTTAGCCACTAATGCTACGTCAACGGCGTGCTTTCCGATGTTTTGTATTCCTCCTCCTCCTTGATAGTTCTCCTTATTACCGTGGGTCATGACTCCCCCGCTGCATCAATCTCTCTTGTACGATTGTTTTCCATCTTCTGCGATCCTTGGCCTCGTCGAGCTTGATGTCCAGACAAGACCGAATTTGATTCGACCATATTTTCTTTCTTATTGTTTAAATGAGTGGACGAGCTCTCAGCCCACCTGGTTTTAAGTGGTTACCGCAGCCCATAGACATCTACAACGTAAGTGTCGCCACGCACCTTGAGATATGAGTTCTAAGGTTGTAACAATATAGTTACAACGGCTGCCCCATCCTTCAAACCGAAACGCATTACTGCTTCACGGCAGAAAATAGGCAATGTATCCAAAGAACTCCAATACTCTACGAATGCATATTGTGGAGAGATTTGTTTTTTTATTAGGCTCCTTTAGTATTGACACATTGGTGCGAAAGTCAGTCCATGGTCCAATCTGAGTCCGATGTTTTGTATTAGCTTATGCTAAACAAAAATATGACATCGTATGCTCCACTTTACCTCTTTACGATTCAGAGGCAAGTATAAAACGTGAAAGGGACCGCTCACTTCCACACAAAATATTTAATACAATGAGTGAGGTATGAAGACATCCTTGAGATAGGCTTCAGTGAAATTAATCTGAATGCTACCTTCACCTTATTGTTTGAGCCCTCGGCCATTACTTCTTATGACAACTAATGTTATGTAATCTTTCTTGTATTTCCTCTTTACATTATCCAATTTCCGTTACTTAATCTAACGTACTCGCGTATCTCTGTGTGAGTTCATACGAAATATTTTACGATATGATGTGGTTTCTCAAAACTATAAAATTTCAATATCCGATTCCGTCGTGGCCTAATGGATAAGACGCCCAGCGTACTCTAGCGATGGGACTATACCGGTGCTCATATACCATACGCGGATGACAGTTTGTTTAATTTAATACGTAGTCTTCGGTTTGAAGGCAGCCGTTTCTTTATTTATTGCTTAGAGGTGGGTGGACGAGCTCACAGCCCACCTGGTGTTAAGTGGTTACTGGAGCCCATAGACATCTACGACGTAAATGCGCCACCCACTTTGAGATATAAGTTCTAAGGTCTCAGTATAGCCGTTGTACAATTCTCGTAATCCCAAACAAATTCTCGTATCCCAATGGAGGTGGCTGCATTCACATTGTAATGTCTATAGGCTTATATAACTCCTTAACACCAGATAGACCGTGAGCTTGTTCACATAAATACGCAAAGACAAAAAATTATAATAAGGTAACTAATAGCTTAACTTAACTGAAACATTGATGCGAATCGCGATATTCACATCATACTACAGGATAAATATTGAATATATTACACATATTACACATAACGTATCTTTTCTAAATCGAACGGCGGTGTTCCCGAGAATTGCAATCTTCGATTTATTCGTACGGGTTCCCGAATAACTCAACGGAAAGGAAATTATAAATGTAGTTATTCAATATTTTTGTTAAATAAATCAACATGTACTTAGATCAGTCGGAATATTTTTGCTGAAGAATTTGGGGATTTGACGAAAATAAATTTCAATTTAGTAGATAGAGCTTTTTTTATAGAAAAGCTAATGTTAAATTCATGTTCGACTGCTAAAGCTAGGTTCGATAGAGGAATTTGTAAATGAAGAAAAGAATAACGCGTGAACAGAGAAAGTATTGAACTAAATATCTACAATAAATCGGTGTAACAGTAACTTTGTTTGTTCTTAATTGTATCTGGGATACATAAAAACTTCAGAAAATGTTAAAATCATTAAGACAGTCGTCAGTATTAGTAGCACTGTCAAAACTTTGCCATTGAGATGACAAAGCGAGCATTAGTTAACTTAACTTCTGGGTCTGCGGAGGGACTTCGGTTCCCTCTGTATTTTGTACCGTATGTTTCATAGGGAGTGCTCTGAGGAATTGTTCGAGATGATACCGGCATCTCGTTTTTACCATCGCACCGCCCGCCACCGGAGTAGAGTTCATCCATTCTACCTGGAGCCACTACGTTCATCCACAGTGCGTTTCCAGAGATCTTTTTTGCCACATACCATCCGGCTATGGAATGAGCTCCCCTCCACGGTGTTTCCCGAGCGCTATGACATATCCTTCTTCATACGAGGCTTGTGGAGAGTATTAAGCGGTAGGCAGCGGCTTGGCTCTGCCCCTGGCATTGCTCAAGTCCATGGGCGACGGTAACCACTCACCATCAGGTGGGCCGTATGCTCCTCTGCCTACAAGGGCAATAAAAAATAAAAACTTAAATATATTTCGTTACTTAATACTGGAGTACCTAATATTAAAGAATCACTATACGAAATATTATCTTAGAACTGAGATGTCGAGGTCTCGGGAACAATTTCCGCGAACAGCCCGGATCCTATCAGAAGTATTTGGAATGATATTTATATACATATAACTATAAGTTTTGATCTAGGCAGGTAGGCAAAGATACCAGCACAATTATAGGTATGGAACACTGTAATTCATTATTTTGCTCCTATGTAGACGAGCTCACAGTAACACCTTAGAATCTTAAGTTCGCAACGTGAACTATACTCACGAGAGCTCATGGCTGTTGTTGCCGTGTTGGAGTTGCTACAATCGCTTCGAATAATAATAAACTCAAAACTACCATTACAAATGTATAGGTACCTACGTTTTGCAAAAAACAAGATCACGTGTAAAGGTATCGGTGGTGATACCAGAATGCAAATGAAACTAAAATTTTAGTTTAGTACAAACGAGAAAATAATTGGGGGAAAAATGTTATTTTAAAACTTCTTTATTTTAAAACCAAAATTTTATTTTAAAACTTGTTGCGCAAGCCATAAATGTAAATGGCAATCCACAGACTGGACATTTATGTAAAAAATTTATGTAAAACTATCAACAATGACACCGTAGATTTTTAGCGTCCACTGAGATGGATGAATAGATTTCTCACCTAACACCTCGCGATATTATTTGCAGCTAATAAAATTAAGCAGCACTTTGTTAGATACAAAGCATTCGGTGAATAAGCTGTAATACTTCTGGGTTTTAGTCAACAAAATTAGGAAATAAATTGGAGCACTGATTAAAGAGATAAAGGCTCACATTATTCGACCACTCGATAATTGGAGTTAGCTGAATTACAAAATTTTACTGCAGCAGCTAATTTTAGACTACATATAAAAACCAAAATAAGGACTCCTCAAATGATAAGAGTATTTTATGATGAGATCTAAGCAACAAATTTTACATTTGAATGTCTCTGTGTGTCTCAATCATTATCATAGAAGTCTGCACGCTGTGTGCTCGGCGTCACAACAACATAGTTAACTGGACGATCAGCAAAAAGCCGTGCTATGAAAAATTCATAAAGAACGACGAGGAAGTGCCGGTAATCGATAGTCAGCTGATCCGCCCAATGTCACGACCGCGTCAGCCGCCCGCCCTGCCCTACCATCCTGCCCACCCGCCCTCACACACGCGTTCTCGCTCACCCCCACATCCAACCGAGGGTAATACTACACCCGCACACAGCTTTAATTGTACAATGTCTAACAAGAGACGCTCACACGCGCGTTTAGACGGGCCATTTCAATACATAATAATATTCCGAAAAGTACGATAATTTCAAGAATCGTTCATGGAAAATTTTCACGTTTAAGGAGGACGGTGGAAAAGGATTTTGATGTACCGTTTTGTTGCTTGTTATCGCTTCAGTAACGATTTTCAGTCGAAGATAAAATTGTGTTTCAATGCTTGAGTTGTTTGCTTTCGTGGAAAAATTTGATGTGTCTGACTATTTTTGTCTTGTGTGGAATGTAAATAATCAATTGAACGGACTCATGACCCATCTGGTGTTAAATAGCTTCTCCCGCCAATTGACCTCAAAATTCCGCCTCCCACCTTGAAGTAAAAGGGTTTATATGAAGCAAAAACAAAACAACAAACAAAAAAGAGCCCAGTCTAAAGCCTGCGATGTTATAAATAGAATCATCAGTTAACCAAAAGAAAAATAGGAATCAGAAATTTTTCTTAATGGATTTTTACTTTCTGATGACGGTCAGAACGTCGAACATAAAATTGAACAACTGTTCCTTTAATTCCCGTTTAAAATATTCCACATTAATGCTGAGTCGTACTCGTCCATAAAACCAAATAAATATTATTGATATAAATACGTCACAATTTCACCATTACGAGAACTCTATCGCAGATGTCCCCAAACCCGCTGGTCGATTCAACCCCTAAACACGCGCGGGTGCAAACCGCCCCGCTTGCACAATATCAACACAAAGGGTTATTTCGCATTATTCTAAGAATATGATGGATTGTGTCACCCCAACTACATATGCAGTCGTGATATAACATTTATTTATGGATTGAACACTCGACGTTTACGACAAACGCAATGAATAACAAGAAATTTAAACATTAAACTCGCTAAGAGTGTGGGGATCGGAGTACTGTGGAGTATATTCGAGTCGTAAACTTGCAAAATTATGTTGATGACCATGGTCAGACTCCCACAAACAAGACAGACAGCGAAAGTCATATACGATGCGGGAACACGATAAACCAACATTATCCTATCACGGAAAGCTTTGGTCACAGATGACGCCTTGCAGCTGAGACCTTGGGACCATCACCACGCTGCCGATGCTATGGTCATTACTTGGAGCCATAAAAAATAGTCTCTAATAAGTTTTAAAACCTTAAATAAAGTTATTTCTTTTTAGACCAAATCCTGACTAAAAGATATCAGATTTATTGCAACGCAGCAACATCATGATTCCCTGTGACATATTGAACATTAAGACGTATCGTATGACAGTTTACTTAACAAAATATGACAAGCAGCTCGGAAGAATTAAGAGAACAGATGAACGTATCCACCTTCATATCATATTCCATTG